TCTTTTTCTTCTCTTTCTTCTCCTTCGTTTCCTCCTTCACTCCCCGGGGAACAGGAAAGCCAGAGAGCTGTCCCCCGAGGCCTCCCTGCCCCGCCACCCCCCCCTTCCAAGTCCCACAAAGGGAAGCTCATGCCTCAGGATTTCTTCCTATGCAAATATTTTCGGTCCTACTTCTCCCTGCATGGTCGGTCGTTCGAGGGAGGGAGAGAGGGAGAGAGAGAGAGGGAGGGAGGGAGGGAGGGAGGGAGGGAGGGAGGGAGGGAGGGAGGGAGAGAGAGAAATAGGGAGAGAGAGAGGGAAAGAGAGGGAAAGAGAGAGAGAGAGAGAGAGAGAGAGAGAGAGAGAGAGAGAGAGAGAGAGAGAGAGAGAGAGAGAGAGAGAGAGAGAGAGAGAGAGAGAGAGGAGGGAGGGAGAGGCAATAACGCCTCCTTTCCGCCTGTTCTCCGTCTCGAGCTTCTCATCCTCCAAGATTCCGACACAAGATCAATATTTGATTTCGTGTGATTGTTTACAGAAGCCTGCCATCCCGCGGCCGCCTCCTCCCTCTAAGTCATGTTCGAGTGGCACTGTTGCATTAGTAATAATTTATACATAACGATGATATGGGTCGTAATGAATAAAAAAAAAAAAAATAGACATATGTAAAATCATGATGATGACACTAAAATGGTAATACGATTACCGCTGCTATGTTACTCATTTGCATCATCATCATCATCGTCTGTCGCCTCCTCCCCGAATTTCGTTAATTTCAGATTGATTCCCAGGAGATAAAACGCCGCCTGGCTACACTCAAAAAAAGAAACGGAACCATCAAACCTCAACTGGAATTTCATATTTCTTACTCATACTTTCGACCTTCGCTTGACAGAGTGCAATGCATCTGGTGGCCCTTCCCCGCGATCGGTCCCCGCGGCCTCCCTCTCCTTACCCTTTCGGTCTCATCCCGCCGCCAGGAACCTCCTCGGGCGAGATGGCTTTCCCACTGACCCGGAAACTCGTCTTCAAGATCCAGCTGATCCATCATCTCCATAAATACCTACACTTCGCTTATGCAATTCGCCCGCCATTTGTTCTTCCCGAAAATCCCGCAAGATCCCCGGCGTCAAAAATCCCCTTCTCGGTCCCATCTGCCTTCCATACACGGCTCCTTTTTACGTCCCAGATGTGTGTCTTTGTTGGCCGCGTTCCAGGCTGCCGGGACCCGCTGTACCGAGTTCCAGTGTCCCAGTGCCCCCCCCCCCCCCCCCGCCCATCCCTAATGTTCCAGAACTCCCTTCCCTGGCCGAGGCCGTGCTTTGGCAGCCCTTCTTCACTCACGGATCCTCTCCTTCCCAGAAAGGGCGCCCCTCACCAAGGGCTCCTCCGCCGCCCTTCCGGAGGCCTCCCCCCATCGGTGACGTGAAGCAGCCGCGGCGGAGCGCTCCATCCCAGCGCTCCCGGGGCCGCGAGGGAGCCTCGAGTTCTGGCGCGCTTCCAGGCGTTAAAGAATTATGAGCTAACCTCATTCCAGGCCAGCCGCTCCCAGGCCAACCTCGTCATCGGTTATGGCTCCTCGCGTCGGCCGCCCGGCGCGCCTCCAGCTGCTGACCCAAGCGCCGTTTCCAGCGGCCGGCCGACAGATGCGGTTCCAGCCGCGGCTTCTCGCTCTCTTGCAGTGCGGCTCGTGCGAGAGGCGCTCGTTCTCTCCAGCGGCTCGTTCAGCGGCTCTTGCCTCGAGAAGTATCTCCTCGGTGGCCGCCCGAGCGCCGGATGGCTCCTTCCGATGCTACCGAGAGCTCTCCAGCGCCTGATCAATGAGCGTAGTTCTTCTATATGCTAATCAGGCTATTCATATTCATTTTCTTTTTGCCTCGCTCTCTCCTTCCCACCCTTTCTCTCTTCCCTCTTCCTTTCCCTTCCCTCCCTTTCTCTCCTTTCTTCCTCTTCCTCTCTCCACTCCCCTCATCCTCTTCCTCTCACTCACCCCCCTTTTCTTTTCTCCCTCCACCTCATCAGCCAGCCCTGGCATGCGACCAAGAGGCCCCAAGTCCCAAGCGCGGGATACAGTACACACAGACCAGCTACGGCCTAACCCCCCCTTCGCTAACCTCGTCTGACGTGCTGACCCAACCAGTACTGGCCCCTCCACACAGACCCTTCTTCCGCGACCCCTCCCTCCCTCCCTCCTTCCCTCCTTCCTTCCCTCCCTCCCTTCATCCCTCCCTCCCTCCCTGACGTCGTACATCTTGACCCTGACCTCATTCCGGTGGTAGTAACAGAAGCAACCTTGAACTACCGGCACTGACCTAGATGCCCCCAACGGTGTGGTACGAGAATGAAATACTACATATATACTTCTCACCGCCTCGGCGTCCACCCTTTCCCTCTTCCCTTCTGCTGCCATTTTGTTCCTCCTCTTTTAGCACCTTTAGTCCTTCTCTTCCTCTTCCTCTTCCTCTTCCTCTTTCTCTTCCTCTTCCTCCTCCTCTTCTTCTTCTTCTTTAGGAACAGAAGATGGAGGGAGAGGAGGAGGAAAACGAGAGGAGATAAAAGGAGAAGAGGAAGATGGAGGGAGAGGGAAAGCCACGGAGAGAAGAGGGAGGGAGGTAGGGAGAGGGACGAGGAGCAGAGAAAGGGGAAAAGAGAGAGAGAGAGGAGGGGAAAGGAGGAACAGGAAGACGAAGGCGAGAGAGGACGACGACAGGAGGAGGCAGGCGAGGGGGCAATATGAAGACTGTGTCATCCGTCTCTCCGGTCTCGCTCGGACAAGAACCAATTCAGGTTTTCTTTATGGCTTTTCCCTCTTTCTCTACCCCTCACCCCCTTCCTCCATCACTCCGAACTCGAGCGCCTCCCCGTTCGGCCCTCGCCGCCCCTCGGTCGCTCGTTCGCTCGCGCCGCGGGGAGGGGGGGGGGGGGGCGAAGCGCGGCGGAACAAAGGGACGGATAACGCAAGCACGAGCGAACGCACGAATGTGTCGAGCGAAGAGCGCGCGAGCAAGGTCCGCGAGGGAGACGGATCGCCAACATCGCACCTGGAATACCTCCCCCACCCTTGTCCTCCTCTTTCTTATTATAATCACCATCATCACCATCACCATCACCATCACCATCACCATCACCATCACCATCATCATCATCATCATCATCATCATCATCATCATCATCATCATCATCATCATCATCATCATCATCATCATCATCATCATCATCATCATCATCATCACCACCACCACCACCACCAACCTTCTCCTCCTCCTCCTCCTCCTCCTCCTCCCCCACCCTGCCCTTCCCCTGCGCAGGTCGCATTAGCGTCCGCCTAAATAAGCGTCGCCGTCCATCGAACGGCCTGATCTCCCCGCCCGCATTCCGCTAAGCGCCGCCCGCGCTTCTTTGCCCCCCCCCCCTCCAGGCCGTCCGAGTCACCTCAAAGCGACCACTAACACGGCCACTTGCATGCACATTGCAACGACCACCCTCTACCCCATCCTTTCCCCGACATGTTTCCCGATACTGGGAATGCTCCCTCTCCCTCTCCCTCTCCCTCCCTTCCTCCCCATCCCTTCATCTTTTTCCTTCTCCCCTTCCCATGACCCCCTCCTCTCCCACCCCCTCCCCTCTCCTTCCCCTTCATAGCCCCTCCCCGCTCCCGACACCCATCCATCTCTCTAGCGATTTTCTTTAGTTTACGGCCGTGTCGCGCGCGGAGAACCGAGCGCCGCCATGCATATCCAGGGAGTGTCATGCACCTGCAAACAAAGCGTCCGCCCCCCCCCCTCCTCCTCCCCCTCCGCCGTGGCACTAAGCAAGCGGCGGCGAAAGAGGAATGGGCGTCCGTGGCTCCGCATGCTTGCTCACGAAGGCAGGCAAACAAATGCTTGCAACACCACGCAAAGATTATGTACGTACGATGTGTGTATATGTGCGACTGGATACTCACACTCAAACACATGCGCATATACACACTCAACAGTACACATGCATACACAAACAAACATACACACAGCAAACACGCACGTAAATACGCTCTTTCTTTCTTTCTTTCTATTTTTCTCTCTTTCTCTCCCTCCCTCCCGCTTTCTCCCCCCCCCCCTCTCTCTCTCTCTCTCTCTCTCTCTCTCTCTCTCTCTCTCTCTCTCTCTCTCTCTCTCTCTCTCTCTCTCTCTCTCTCTCTCTCTCTCTCTCTCTCTCTCTCTCCCACCTCCCTCTCTCTCCCACCTCCCTCTCTCTCCCACCTCCCTCTCTCTCCCACCTCCCTCTCTCTCCCACCTCCCTCTCTCTCCCACCTCCCTCTCTCTCCCACCTCCCTCTCTCTCCCACCTCCCTCTCTCTCCCACCTCCCTCTCTCTCCCACCTCCCTCTCTCTCCCACCTCCC